ATTTCAGTTTTAAATAATAAATATATATTTGAAATATATCAGATATATATTTCCAGAAAATATAGATTCCAATATATTTGTATATATATGGCTGAAAATTGAAATGATGTTCAGTAACTTCAGTGTGGTGCATTGGTAGGTTTTTTTAGCAGTCAAACCGACCCAAACCGACTAGGTGGGTTTTGCTTAATAGAGGGTCGGTTTCGGTTTACTCTTTAGGTAACCCAACCAGGTCGGGTCGGTTCAAAAAAACTAATAAACCGATCCAACCTGAACCGTGAACTGCCCAACCTGAGTTTGAAGAGGAGTTAGTGCATTTGAGGTTTGGAGCTTGGCCTGGTTGTAGTGGTTGGTGTAGTCGGCAAGGTTGGTCTTTTCGTCTTTGGTTAGCCGTTCTCCCCCCCCCCCCCTCCTCGTCTTGTTTTTTCCTTCTTTTATATTATGTTTGATATTGAGTCTGAGGGAGAGAAGGATCATGCTAACCAGTTCAAGGAGGGGACCTCAGCTCAAGAACGACGAGGTTCCCATAAAGGGGCCTCATCCTCGTGTTAACCACACAAGACTAAGTCCGAGTTCGGTCCCACTGAATTGATCGCCGGGGATGCTTACAAGCTCAAAGCTCAGTATAGGATCCTAGATTAGTTCAGTTATTCCCTTCCTTTGGGGTTGTATCCCTGGGAACACTATGAGGACAAGGTCACTGTCTTTGAGGAGGCTCTAAAGGTAGGTCTTTGGTTCCCTCTTCATCCATTCATTCTGAGGTGCTAAACTATTATAATATCACCTTAGGCTAGCTTCACTCGAACTCTATTAGGACTTTCTTCTTGGCTTCCCCTAAATGTTTAGACCTTTGCCAACACATGCTAGTTGAAAAGGAATCTCGCCGAAAAGTATAGTTACTATTTGTCCTACCGCTCTGGTTGTAAGCTGCTTGGCAGATTCCCTTCCAAGGTCCAGGACTATAAGATGAAGTATTTCTTCTTGGATCTCAACGTCGGATGGTCGTTCTCTATGACATGGAGGGAAAGCACCAGGGATGTCGGGGAGGAGACCTTAAGTGAGCGCTTGCAGGTAGGTGAATTCTTTGTTGAGGAGAAGCTGATCCAGTTCTAGTTGAGTCCTCTGGGTAGGTCATGCCAGACTTAGGCATTTTATTTCTTTGATTTTCTAACTCTACATTTTGGCTCACTCATTTTTTTTTTTTTTGTGTAGGAGACATGTCGGGCGTACCTACTTCTGTGTTTTTCCAAGCCATGAAGAGGAAGAAGAGGAAGGTGGCTCCTTAGGTGTCCCCTCACATCGTTGCTCCCGATCTTATTGGGCAGAGCACTACTAAGGCCGTGTTGGTGGTTGATCAGTCAGAAGGGAATGCATTCGGATCCGGTGTTTTCCGGGCTACCAAGGAGGATCAACCACCCCCTGAGGCAGAGGTGATTGCCACATTAGAGGCGGAGGCTGGGGTCATGGAGAGGCACTCCCTCATGGACTTCTAGACGGATTTGGAGAAGAGCTAGTGTACCGTCTTTCCTAAAGAGATCGAGGAGATTCGCGAGTCATGCCCCGTCCAGATTGCTAGGAGAGCCATGCACTACCTCATGGTGGTAAGGGTCTAACTGCCTCCTTTATACTTAGCATGCTTATCGTTCCTTACCAATTCCTGATCTTTCTTCTTCTTTCTCAGGAAAACACCATAACACACACCTTGCTAGGGCAAGCCAAGGCAGATGTGGAGAGGGCGGAGGCCTTGGAGAAGGAGGTAGCAGAGTGTAGAGCTTGCCTTGAACGGGCCATCAAACTTATCACCGACTTGAAAGCTGAGCTTGTACAAGAGCGAGGTAAGAGTGGAAACTTAGCGACAAGGATAAAAAATCTGTTTAGTGAGCTAGAATAAAAACGTTGCGAGTTGGAAGGAAAAAGAAGCCGAGCTCGTGGAGTGAAGATCAAAGTTTACTAAAGACGTTTGTATCGCTAAGGTCCATGCAGTTTTGGAATTCCAAGCTTCCCTAGAATTTCAAAAGGACAGAGAAGAGTTTGGTATCAGTGCCTTTCACTAAGTATTCAAGCTATGCCGGATGCTCGTGGCCTTAGTATGTCTGCAATTCTACCTAGGGAAGCTGAAGTGCTCGGCATGCACCAATGAGATGATGACCAAGGTCGACCAGGAGCCTGACTTCGAGGAGGAGGAGGACGACGAAGCTGAAGGCGATGCAGGGGATGGTGTCAGCACTGAGAGAGCAAACTCTAAGGGCAACAATGAGCCCCAAAATGTCTGATCTCATTGCCTCTTTTCTTGGACCTTCCGCACATATGCTATGTATCCTGAGCCTCCAAGCTCGGTTCTTCATATTTTTCCCGATGTGTCAAGTTCCCTTTTGTGCCTTTTTATTTTCCAACTTAGAAAGTTGGCTAAGCCAAAACGTTTGCTGAGGTGTCGAGGTGTTTAAGTGATGCCAAGGTACACACAACATAGGTTAGTCACTTATTGCTGACGTGTTGTGAATAGGTCGACATGAAGTTTTCTTCGAGCTGAGAGGGGCCAGGATTCCTGTTTAGTTTTAGTTGAAGCACACATAGCGTGGGCCAGCTCGACCAGGTCTCCAAAGTGGGTGGTTAGGTTGCCGAGGTGGCACCAGGGTCTTGCCCCTTTTGGCGTTGAGAGGAGTGTAATTCTTTGTCTTTATTGGGGGAGTCTGGGAATGTCAACTGGACAACCTACTGCTGCGTTGGGCGAAGGATATGTTTCTATGGCAAGGAGACCTTTTTTTGGGTGACCTGCTTCTCTTTTTGTGCTTGCTGCTATCAAGATCATCATCTGACCTCCTTCTCTTCCTGCTCGGCTTGTTCTTGGAACTAAGTGCCTCTTCAGCTTTGATGTGCTTGCCTACCTCTTTGAGGAACTCCTCTATGTTGGTCGGAGTGTTCAACTTGACTTTCCAATGCAGGACAGGACGATGGATGCCATTAATTGCTATGTAAGCTGAAAGGCGGGGTCGAGGTTTGGAACTTGCAGCATCTATAGATTGAATCACTTGATGTAGTCTCTTAGTGAGTCATTGCAGCATTGTACCACATTCATCAGGCTTGTGGCAGACTTAGGGCAGCACTTACTGGTGGCAAAGTGTGTGATGAAGAGATTTGCGAACTGCTTCTAAGATTAGATTGAGCCTGCAGCCAGCCTAGAATTCCACATCTGGGTTGTACCTCTAAAGGTGGTCGAGAAGGCCATGCATAGACTCGCATCTGAGGCCCCATATAGCTGCATCAGGGCTTGAAAGCTTTTAACATGGTCCACCAAGTCACTGGTGCCGTCATACGACTCAAGGCTGGGGGCCTTGAAGTCTTTGGGTCTAGGGGCTGCAAGGATCTTGGCTGACAACGGAGATGTGTAGGAGACATACGGGGTGGACGACGTGGCGGTCCGATTGACTTGTTCATTTTTTGTGCTTTTTCCATATCTTTTGGAGCAGAGCATCTTTTCCCAGGGTCACGATGGGTGCGTCTACGGCATCTCCTTCGGTACCCCTCAGTAGAGCCAGTGTTGGTCAGTCCAACCGAGGAGGTAGCTTGGTTGGTTTCTTCACTTGAGACGTAGGTGGAGTCCTGGGCTTCCGAGGTGCTAGTCCTCTCCAGGTCAGAAATCCCAGGTGCTTGCATGTTGTTGGTGCTTGGGATGTTGTGGCTCTTGTTCTGACCGTCGGGTTACTGGTTCAAGCTCATTGTCAACCCGAGGATCTGACCATGATCTGCTGCTGAAGCTGTTGTGGTGGCTGCGACATTTGGAGGGTGGACATGTACTGTTGCTGCATCCATGCCACCGTAGCGAGATGGCCTTCCAAGTTTTTTATCCGTAGGTAAATGTCGCAGATGTATTGCACCAGCTCCTAAAACTGTTGGTCGTCGACCCCAATAGAAACCATGGATGGCTCGACCTACAGGGAAGGCACAATTGAAGTGGGCAATGAAGGGAGGCTCGGTCTCGGCAACACTGTGATGGTGGGTAGTGTTAGGGGGACGAAGATCTGCCCTATCTGGATGTTCTGAGTTGTCGCATTCTGGATAGACTAGCTCTGCCCCCCCAGTTGAGGTGCCTTCAATCTAAATGTTGTTGGAATTGTTGATGTTGTTATTGCTAAGTGAGGCTATTGCTTAATGCTCATTAGGTTGGTGAGAACTTAGCTTTTGTGTAGCGATTCCCATAGATGACACTAATTGATGGTGTGCAATTTCGTGCTCCCTGCTAGATGACAAATCGGACGCTTGTTTGATGAGGTTGGCTGGCTGGCCTGCAAGAAGACAATTAGAGTACCTAGGGTGGGACTCTGATGCTTAAGTTAGCAAAGAACTTTAAGAGAGATAAAAAGTGAGAACTAAATCGTGTGGGCTGCCTCTCTCGAAGGTGGCTTACATGAATAGCGATAAGGTTTATTTGGTTATCTCCAAAACAGGCGGCGTGGGAGTCAGTCTCCTTGGTTGGGCATCGTGATCCCATAGGATTAGAGACGATAAGTCATATGAACGGAAATTAGTCACCACGTCATGTGGACCACCACCTTGATCTCGATCAAGTCAGTTAGTCTTAGGAGGGAGGTTGCCCCTCTTGCCGGCGTCTGTGGTAAGATCCGCTGAGGCGCATGCGTCTCCCAAAGCCATTCCTAGCCAAGATGTCGAGGTGATGAGGGGCCTCCCAATGGTTAGATAGTGCTACGTGGTTGAGGGCCAAATCATCCCTCATGAATGGAAAGCTTGCGGCCCTAGTTACAAAATACCAATCGAAAGCACGGCCAAGGATTAAAGCTCAAATTTGGAGTTGAGGGACGGCAGCGTAGTTACTTATGGCATTTATTCTTAAATAAATCAAGAAAGAAAGGGGATTTTGGTAAATTAATCACTGACAGTGTATTTGGACTTCAGTGTTTATTTTTGTAAGTTCAAGGTACTTTTTTGTGATCATTCGAAAGCTGAGGGCCTTAAGTGTTATTTTCTCATGTTTGATGCATAACTGATTAACTGAGAGGAGCGCTCGAAGAAGACTGGCAGACAGTGCCATTACAGATACAGGCAGCCATTGGCAATGGCATCCCCGGCCGCAATTCAGAGATCAATTACACCGGCAGTAGCAGGAACGATCATCCCTTCTTCACCTCTTCAAAGGCTCTCTACCTTCAAAGACCGAACTCCTTCAGCTCCCATTCCTCATTCCTCTTCTTCCCCCCTCGATGCCTTCTCTTCTGATCCCGTCTTCTCCGCCTTACTCTCCCCAGACTTTGATTCTACCCGATTCTCCACTCAAGCACTCAGCTCTGGCTCAGCCGCCGCCCGTGCCGAGAAGCTCGAAGAAGGCATCCGTCTCCTTGAGAAGCAACTCCGCTCCGAGGTCCTTTCCCGCCATGACGACCTTCTCTCCCAATTATCTTCCCTCAAGGACGTTGAAAGCGCTCTCTCCGTCGTTCGATCCGGAATTTCTAACCTCCAGTCCTCTGTTCGCCGCGTCCGCCAGGAGATCTCCGATCCGTACCGTCAGATCCGTCTCAAGACCGTCCAGCTCTCCAACATTCACCATACCGCTGAGCTCTTGCAGTCCACTGTCAGGGTTCTTCGGTTGTCGAAGAAATTGAAAGACTTGATGGCAGTTTCCGCCACCGAGCCTGAGAAATTGGACCTATCCAAGGCTGCTCAGTTGCATCGGGAGATCCAGATCTTGTGCGAGGAGAATTCGCTTGCCGGAATTGATGTTGTTGATGAGGAAATGATTTGGCTAGCAGAGACCGGAAACAAGCTGAGATCCGAGGCAATGAAGGTCTTGGAGAGGGGGATGGAAGGGCTTAATCAGGCTGAAGTGGGGAGCGGTTTGCAGGTTTTCTATAATCTTGGAGAATTGAGGTCTACTGTGGATGCTTTGATTACTAAGTATAAGAATCAAGGTGTGAAGAGTGTGAATATGGCTATGGATTTGAAGGCTATATCTGCTTCTTCGGGGAACTTTGGGCCTGGAGGGGTACAGAGGACTGGGACCCCTCAGCTTGGTGGAGGAGCAAAGGCAAAGGAAGCGCTTTGGCAAAGGATGAATACTTGTATGGATCAGATGCATTCCATTATTGTCGCAATTTGGCACCTACAGAGGGTTCTGTCCAAGAAACGGGACCCGTTCACGCACGTATTGCTCCTCGACGAGGTCATACAGGTGAGCTTTTGATTCTTTCACTTCGCAGGTTAAGAGGGTGTTGCTTTGATCGTAATTGTTTTTCTGTTTTTCCTCTTTATGGAAGCCTACCGTTTGCATAATAACTTTAGAGGTTTTCTAAACTGGATCAGCTGAACGAGACCTAATGGAATGAATGTAATGTGATGAACTCGCTGCATTTCAGTGATTTTCCTTTAGTAAGATGTCAAGGAAAAATAATATTCACCAATCTTTTTCTTGATGTGTTATTCCCACCGAGAGCCCTTAACTTCTTGTAGTACCATTCAGTAATAAGTAAAAAACAAATTTCTATGTCATGCTTTATATATGCGGCTTCATGGTGAGAGTGCTTGGATTTATTTCAAGTTCTGGTGTCTTATGAGCTAACTAAAAATCCTTTCCAAATATCAATCACTTGAATGCAAGATTAGAAAATATTATTGAAATTCTTTTGGTGGAAAAACCCGTTATCTGTTCCTCTTACTTACAACTCAGAGGTGATATATGCATTCTCCTCAGACCTTCATATCTGCAATTCAGATACCAGTTTGTCATTATGCTTAGGTGGCATCTGACTTGTGAATTAAGTCTTTAAAGAAGAGTATGATTGTCATTTCTGTAGAAGATGATGGTATCATTGAATAGGCATCTGATATTCTGATTTGGTTCCAACTTTAGAAGGTTCCATAGTTAGGAGTCTCACTCTGCTGCAAAGTAATTCTAGGTACAGGACTGCTAATTTTAGATTAGTGGAAGTTGCATCATAAAGAAGGATTTCAGTCCTAGTAAGGTTGCACCACTACATTATGTCCCACCTTTTGATTCCAGTACTGTATTGATAGAACTTGAAAATCTCCAAGAGGAATTTCTTTGGAACTGCAATGGCAAGCTCATAAGTCATAAATGAACTTTTAGTGGACTGGCAATCATCTGTGAATAAAAGAAAACATTTAAGGCCCCCATGGGAAGGAGTTGATCTGTTACAAGTTGAAGGGATAGAAGAGCTAGGGACAGATCAAAGAGAAGATGGTTTGAGGTGGTAAGAAATTATTAAAAGGTTCATATCTCAGTGCCTTTTTCCATTCTCATTAATGGTATGGCAATGGGATTTCTTCCAATCTCTCAGGGTTTGAGGCAAGGAGATCTATTTTCCCCTTTCCGTTTTGTCTTAGTAGTGGAGACGCTGAACTTACTTATAAAGAGAGGTGAACAGGTTGGGTTTGATAGGGGGCTTTCAGGGTGGGGTAAATGGCCCTTTGATCTCTCATATTCAATTTGCTGATGATACTCTTATCTTTCTTGATGCTTCAGTGGATCAGGTTTTGAATTTTAGAGCAATTCTGAAGAACTTTGAGCTTTCGATAGGCTTAAAAGTTAATCTTTCAAAGAGTATGGTGGGAGATTTGAGTAGGGAGTTTGTAAGAGAGTGTTTGGCTGCATTAAATTTTAGAGTGGGAGAGCTTCCCATCATTTTTTTTTTGGGGTCTTCCAGTTGGGGGAAGGGCTTCTTATGCTTCTTTGTGGGATCCAATTATTGAAAGAATTGATAAAAGGTTGGTGGGTGGAAGGCAAAGCATCTTTCTTTTGGGGGAAAGGATTACTCTTATTAAGAGTGTGCTATCGAGCATTCCTACTTATTATTTATCAATTTTGAAGATCCTGGGGATGGTGGCAGAAAGAACTGAGAAGATTAGGACCTTAATCTTGAATCAATAAGCTCATTTGCAATCAAGACAGAATCCAGCATTTGTCTCCCTGGTACAAAAGCAAACTGATTATTAGAAATAACACTGCTTAGCACCTACTTCATTCTCACTGGTAACACTTTCTGAGAACCTTGTAGAAGCTATTTAGAAGGCTGATGGGCCTAAAGTCCCTAATATTTGTGGCCCCTTCCACTTTAGGGATTAAGGAGATGAAGGTAGCATTAAGACTTCATAATGCAAATCTCAGGATCCATACACAACATGGGGTTGTTCGGTTTGGAAAGGGATTCTAAAATCTTTTCCTGTGATGTATGAGGGAGTGAGACTGAAAGTGGGAAGTGGAAATAGGCTGAAATTCTGGAAAGATCCCTGGTGCATGGACAGACCTTTAGCTGAGGCGTTTCCCCTTCTGTTCCAATGTACAGTTAATCAAGAAATATCAGTGGCAGAGTCTTATGTGATCTGGAACCCTCAGTTCAGAAGAGATTTATTTGATTGGGAAATAGATGGTGTGATGCAACTTCTGCAGATTTTACAGGAGCAGATGATAGACATTACAGGTGAAGATGAATGGAGCTGGTCTTGGAGTAAGGATGGCTACTTCTCAGTCAAATCCCTTACCTTGAAGCTTAGTAGTACGGGTATTACTGAGTTCCCCTATCAGCAAGTATGGAAGTCCTGTGCTCCCTCGAAATCTGTATTCCTTGTTTGGACTATGGTGCTGAACAAATGTCTCTCAAGACTCAACCTGGACAGAAGGGGCATTCAGCTCCCTTCTCTGATGTGTGGGTTGTGTGCCTTGTTGCCTGAGTCCACAGACCATCTGTGCTTACATTGTCCTATCTCCTCAAAAGTCTGGTACCATTTCATTGGAGTGGCTGGTCTTAATTGGGTTATGCCAAAGTCAGTTAAAGATCTGCTGCTTTGCTGGAATCTCCATGGTTTGAAGAAAAAAGGAAGTTTAATTTGGAGAACTATTCCTGCGGCAGTGATGTGGGTAGTTTGGTCTGAAAGGAATAGAAGAATCTTCAGCAACAAAGCTAAGAACTTGGAGGAGATATTACAGCAGGCGATAGCAAGCTGATTTCTTGGGTGGCTGTTACACCTGATTTTAAAGAGCTAAAAGTTCTTGTATTAGTTAAGTCTACTTCGATTTGGGACCTGTATTGTCCTGAAATCTGAGCAGCTACTAGTGGCTTTCTCTTTTGTTGTACTGAGTTCTTTTTTATTCAATAAAGTTATTACTTTACCTTTCAAAAAAAATATGAGGTAGTAAGATTGGTTGGGAATCAATCTTCATTAGTCAGGGCACGTGAGAGGTGGGGGATGTGGAGATTGATGCTTTGGTTGATAGGAGTGTGGAAGTGGGCAAGAGCTTAGGGCTGGTCTTTTGGGGAGGAGAGGAGTTTGCCAGAAAGGCTTTTGAAGGTTTTGAAAAAAACAAGAGAGATGGTGCTTGGAATTTTGAGTTGGTTTGAGGTGGTGTCTGGCTTCAAGGTTAATTTGAGTAAATCTGATGTGGACGCCGGCAGCAGCAACAGTAATTTAGTGCAGCAGCAGCAGTAATTTAGTGTTCTCAGCAGCAGCAATTTAGTGTTCTCATCCTATCTTATCTATTCAGTATT